GGCTCTGGATGGAAGCCCTAAACCCTAAACCCAAACCCCTAAACCCTAAACCCTAAACCCCTAAACCCTAAACCCTAAACCCCTAAACCCTAAACCCTAAACCCCTAAGCCCTAAGCCCTAAACCCAAACCGGAAGTCGGAAATTTTGAAGCCAGAACCGTCGTCCTCCCGGACAGGACATACCGACGGGACATGGCAGAACACCGCTGTTGTCGAAGGCCACATACCTCGTCGAAGCAGTTTTTTTCTGAAGGGTTAGGACTTCGGGATTACGGTGTGGGTAGTTGTCAAAATGATGGTCCCTTCTTGGGGGTACCCTAAATAATAGGTGCCGTATTATAATAAGGACCCAAAAAGGGACCATAATTTTGACAACCACCCATGTATACTAAGTTCACGACTCAGTGTTTTGGGGTCTTAGGGTTTGAGGCTTTCCAGACATCCTATATTAATCATTACCACACAAAGCTTGAAAAGCCAAGGGGGCTGTAAGTTTGCACGCCAGACTTGTTGAGGATCCCAAACCCTCGATGCCCTACCTGGCCGCTCAGAACAATTTTTCAATGTTCCTTATTATGATTTCTTTACATGAGTTCTTATGATTTTCTTATATGGGTCCTTGAAGTGTTTTTAGGATCCAGGTCTACCCTAAACCCTCGTTTGCTCCTGGGCTCAAGACCAGCCACGACCTCCTCCCCTAAACCCGTTTCAGGAGTTAAAAAATTGGGTTTCAAGGATTTAGGGTCTTTTGGGTGTAGGGGAAACTCTCCTGCCCAGGATCCTCATTGCATTAAAAGTTAACCTTAGGGATTGTATAACCCCCCAAAAAAAGGGTAAAGGGCATTATACCTGAAACCCCCGAGCCAACCCCCATCAGGGCCTTGCACCATCTGACCTGGTTCTCATGCAATAAATGGTAGTTCTCTAAATTAGGGTTTAGGGTTTAGGGTTTAGGGTAGTTCTCTAAATTAGGGTATGTTTGTAGGTCCCGAAATATACAGTACGGCACCCTTAAAAGGACTCCTAGATGGGACCCTGGTTTAGAGAGCTGCCCATTTGCTGGTGCTAGAGGTGAAAAGCCTCAATCGAATGCTTAACTTGCGACCCATGTGTAGACTAGGGTAGAGGCTTCGGGTTTGAAATGGTTTGGGTATTGAGCACTCTGCTAATTCAGGTACTGACGCCGTAGGCTACGACTGCGCGATAGCAATCACAGAGCCGTCAAAAAGTGGACGCGCACCTATGCAGGGACTACAACCAGACCCTAAGTCTCCAGACCTTTAAAATGGAGGCTTACAACTTAGAACACAAATTTCGGGTGCAGGTCTGGGCCAAGCCACTCTCCCGGACCAGCCATCACATCGGAGGAGAGCGGATTGGAGGAGCCTTCTGCGCACCTAAGGTACCGCGCGAATTGTTTGAAATGACGTATTTTCAGTTTTACACTCAAACACTTCAGGTTCAGGTGCAACAACCAGTTGTGGCACCAACAACAGCAGCAACATGCTAATCCTTCGCTGTTGCAAGGCTCGTGCAGGCTTCGGTCCAGCGTTGAATCTCTATTCTAGCCTTCACCCACCTCTCAAGAAAAACCGTCGCGGCTTCTTCTGGCCAAGATGCACAATGCCCAAACGAGTGCACTGCATTGGCGACCTCGGGGCAATCTCGAAACCAAGGGTCCAGAAATTCGGGTTCCAAGCGCCCTCGGGTAGGGGACCGCAAGCGGCTGCTCTGCTGCGAATCCGGTCTATATGTTAAGGTGTTCAGGCTTGGCTTACGTGCAGCACAGCCGGCAGATAGTCGAGTTCTCCCGAAGGCTGCATCTGGGCGATAGAGCCCGGCGGGCAGAAGAAGCCTGCCGCGAGAGTTCTTGGAGGATTGCGACTACCCGAAACCCTAAACCCCCAGGAAGTTTGAGGTTTCACTTTGGCCTGTCATAACGTGGACACTCAAAGCGGGGTTTAAGGTTGCAGCATCTTAAGACTTTGCAAAACTTACACACTCGCGGGCCGGGTGGCAATGATGCCAAGCTCAATCGGGAGTTTCTGAAAAATCCTGAATAGATCCCTAAATGGGCCACAGAAGCTAACAACAAGGTATTTGGGTTATGTTTGGGGACCGGGCGCAGAAGAAGCCTGCCGCGAGAGTTC